ACACTCCTGGTTTGGATCTCTGGCCCTAGGGCTCCCAAAGTCTGGTGGTGCTGCGACGTTATTTGTATCAAATTTCTCGGCATTATTGTTTAATTTATCGACTTTTTAATAAGAGTGATAAGCAAAAAACTTGGACATTCCACTTGGCTGTGTTTGCGCCCGGTATTGTATTGTACTATATTAAGTACAATTGACTGCTTGATCCGTTAGACTTATATTTTATTTTATATTTTTTAACGGTGATAATCGAATAAGTTCCAATAAATACGCTTCTGTAGGTTTTCGTGGTCGAACATAATTTCTGTATCCAAAATGGCAAAATGCTATAACTGCGATGAGACATGCGTCCAGAAGGAGGATAAGAGTGCTCTTTTCGGTTTTCCCTGCGATTTATGTCAAAGAATAGTGTGTAAAAACTGTACTGGCTTGATGGCTTCCGAAAGAAGGGTTGTTCCATCGGCGTCTCGAGTCCTACTTCATGTCTGCCCAGACTGCAGAGCATATCTGAGTATGGTGCCAAAATTGATTAACAGAATTATATTGTCTTGGAAACTGAAATGAAGTCAGTTCGAAAAGATCTTGATGATCAGCAAGAATCATGGGCTGCAGAGGTTATTGAAATTAAAAAATCATTCAATGAAAACCCTAACAAAGGCGTGTCCGACGAGCAAACGCGTGTCGGTGAATCCGAATGCGCAGACAGTAAGCATTGAATCACATTTATCGCGAGTCGCGGACAACATAGTTTCTGCAAACAAGGACCTGGTTAGATTCTTGACAGATGGGGGAGCATCGACTGCTGCCCATAAGGGAATTTTGCAGGAGGATGGTCGTGAGAGGGTGGCATGGGCGAGTGGAAATACATTAGCTGCCAAAATTTCCCATTATACTGATGCAAAAACCGATAGGGCCGCCGGGGTACCACCCAGTGGACTGAAAGCTTCCAACAAATTTGTTAAAGCTATTAAAAATAATAACATACAATCCGCCCATCAACAAAGGCCTGTGCTACCCACAACCAACCCGCGATTGAATCCCATGACTAACCCGCGATTAAATTCTACTTCTGCTGCCACATCTGAGCGTGTGATTATTGGAACGGGCACTGTGAATGGACCCTTCTCGGCTGGAGAGAGACGTCAATGGTTATATCTTGGCCGATGTGATCCTGCAACCACTGAAGGAAACATAATTAAATATATGAATCAACAGCTTGGCATTTCGGATGTGAAATGCTTTATTCTGGATAAAAACGAAGATGTGATATCATTTAAGATTGGGGTCAAGGAATCACTCTTGAAGGGCCTGCTGGAGCCCAATCTTTGGCCCGTTGGAACAGCTGTCAAGGAATTTCGAGCCCGGCGCCCTCTTAATAATAATAATAATAATAGTATTAGGTCAACAAATTTTCAACAGCGGGATTTGGGAGGCAGTCAGACCTAGAATGTGCATCAATCTTTTATCAAAACGTCAGAGGCCTAAAAACAAAGCTTAAAGATTTGTTCTGCGCTGCACTTATTGAGTCATATTCTGTCATTGCATTCACTGAGACTTGGTTGGATTCATCTGTCAATGACTCCAAGTTTCTGGATTCTTCTTACACTGTGTACCGAACTGATCGTAGTGCCATTAATAGTACAAAATGCCGGGGTGGTGGTGTCCTACTCGCAGTAAAAAGCTTCTTGAAATCTAGCCTCCTGTCACTTGGTGATTCTACAATCGAAGAAGTTCGGGTATCTATAACGATTGGAAATTCTGTATACTGTGTGGGCTGTGTATATGTGCCACCATCGATGGATATTTCATATTATGAACTTCACTTGAAATCGGTATCTTCTGCTTGTAATAGTTTTAAATAGTTATTTATGATATAAGTGTTAAAAGTACATTTTTAAGGCACGCATGTGAAAGTTTGCAGAATGAGCGAAGCGAATTCTGCAATTCACAATAGTGCCTTAAAAATACTTTTAACACAAATATCATACAATATTTTTTCTACAAACGGCAATAACAAGCAATAAACAGTGACAAATTGGATTTTTAAATGAATAATAAATTGGAAGCATCTTTCCTACGTAAAATTATTGAATTTGATATTTGTCAAAAAATTCAAACAACCAGCACCTTGTTTTACAGGTAATGAAATGTCTTGTCAGTTTCTTGAAAGTCTGTCGTGGTCAGTAAGCTTTTTGCTAAAAATGCAACAAAATACACAAGAAAAAGAGGGTTGCATCAATCCCTTGAAAAATATAGAGGAGGCGGCCAATGGAGCTTCCTCAGTTGTTCAAATTTTACCATTAATATTAATGTAAATAATTAAAAATACAAACTTTTTTTGACGTTTGCTTTCAAATTTTGATGTTTCATTTTTAACACTAGTGCCTTAAAGACTTTTAACACTAGTGCAATAAAGTAACATTTTTAATGCTTCGAGGGGGTGTTAAAAATTGCATTTTTAACACGTTTGTAGAAAAAATGTTTTAGTTGTAGGCGATTACAATTTGCCACAAGTAAACTTGGTCTCCAGGAGAGGATTATCTCGGACTTGTGCCGGGTAATGTCAGATCTGCAAAAGAAATCTTGCTGTGCGATACTTTCGCGTTCTTGGGCTTATCTCAATTTAATCGCATATCGAATGAAAATAACTCTATATTAGATCTTTGTTTTGCTAACTTTGACCTAAATTCAATCGATGAATGTGTTGGTTTGGTAAATTGTGATCGCTGTCATCCTGCTTTATTACTGTCAATTCAATTTAAGAAAACAAATTATTTAAAAACTGCTAATAACTTTTTTACGACTTTAAGTCCGCTAATTTTGAGCTAATGAACAATTATTTTTTGTCCTATGATTGGTTGTCGATTTTAAACGATAATTTAGAGATTACCATAAGTAAGTTGCATTCAATTGTTTTGATTTGTTTGTGCATGTTAAGCAATGTCGCTCCAACGACAGATTTCCTATCTGGTTTTCAAGTGAATTGAAATCCCTAATTTTTCAAAAAAAAGTAGCTCACAAAAGGTTCAAACAATCAAATTCAGTTATGGATTATAACTTATTTTTTCTGCTTCGCAGAGAATGCTTATCCCTGTCCAAGGAATGCTACAGTCTTTACATAACAAACACTAAAGATTCAATCAAGGAGAATGCCGGGTACTTTTGGAACTTTGTTCGTTCGCAGTCAAATCAAGGCTCCATCCCTAGGGAAATGTTTTCTGGCTCAAATAAGGCTGATAATGGTTATAACATAGCCAATCTCTTTGCTGATTTCTTCTCAGCAAGTGTTTCTTCCGTTTCTTCAACACACACCTTTCAATCAATTTCTGACATTCAGATCACTGCATATGACATTGAAAAATCGCTCTCTGAACTCGACATAAATAAAAGAGAGGGACCTGATGGAATCCCAAACAGAGTGTTAAAACTTTGCTCCCATTCTCTGTATCTTCCCCTCTATTACATATTTTCCAAGTCTCTTATCTCTGGAGTGTTCCCAAAAGTCTGGAAATTGTCATATGTTTGTCTCATCCACAAATCAGGAAGCAGGAACAATGTGTCTAATTACAGACCAATTAGTATCCTCTCAGCAATACCCAAGCTATTTGAGCACTGTATAGAAAAAGTTTTGTCGGTTGCCTTCCATCAAGTCATAGTAAATCAGCAACATGGATTCACCTCAGGCCGCTCCGTTGATACCAACTTGTTTCTATTCACTAACTTTACCAATAGATCATTCGAGAACGGTTGTGAGATACATACTATATAAACTGACTTTAGTAAGGCCTTTGATAAGGTCAATCATGCTCTTCTACTCTCAAAGTTGTCCGGTTATGGCATTGCGGGTACTTTGATTTCTTGGTTGGAGTCTTATTTGTCAGTTAGGATTCAGCAGGTGAGAATTGATGGTTATCTCTCGGATAAGTTCGATGTCACATCTGGGGTTCCTCAGGGATCTCATTTGGGACCTTTCTTGTTCAGTTTATTCATCAATGACCTGGGCCATCTACTTTCCTCCAATTTTCTGATGTTTGCGGATGATCTAAAGATATTTCGGGAAGTATCATCAACTCGTGATATTCTTCTTCTGCAAAATGATCTGGACATTGTATACGATTGGTGTAACCTCAACGACATGTCACTTAATATCGACAAATGCTGCTTTATTCGCTTCACCTGCTTGATGAATACTATACCTGTGGAATATTCCATTAATCACGTTGCTCTTGCTAAGGTATTTGTTGTTAAGGACCTTGGCGTTTACTTGGACACTAAACTTACGTTCATCGAGCACTTTGAGTATATATAGTAGGTAGGGCTAATAGAATATTAGGTTTTATCAAAAGAACCAGTAAAGACTTTAGGAGTGTGTTTGCTCTGAAGGTGTTGTATACGTCGCTGGTTCGATCCATCCTTGAATTTTCAAACATAATTTGGTCGCCATATTATCAGGTTCATATAAATAGACTTGAAAATGTTCAACTTAAATTTATAAAATATGCTAAATATAAACTTTTTTGCAATGGTATTGAACTTGATAATGATCAGACTATGTTATACCTAGACTTAGCATCTCTTGTTCGCAGAAGAGAATACTATGACATATGCTTTGCATTTAATGTTCTAAACTACTATATCAAGAGTCCAGAATGTTTGGAAACTTTTCGATTTTGTATACCTGGATATCCAACACGTAGGCAGACCTTGATGCATATACCAATTTGTAATTCTTGGTACTTATTGTATAGTCCTGTTAACAGAGTATCAGCGAATGTGAATAAGTTTTGTGAGTCATTAGAATTCTTTAATGTTTCCCATACAAAATTTAAGAGTTGTGCAAAAAGAACTGTTTTAGGTTAGTTAGTTTAAGTTCACTTGTAAACCTGTAAATGTTGATACGTTAATAAATAAATAAATAAATAAATTATTCTGATTCCTGGAAAAGTGGTTACCTGAAATCTGGTTAACCAAATGTCAAAATAGTTACCGGCCATCGGATGTCGGTTCTGTTGGTTTTATCTGTAATTTCTGTCAATTATTTTTTATTTCATATTCGTTTTCCTCAAGTAACCGGAATTTTCAGTAACCATCTGTCAACCGATTCTGTTACTTTGGTTAACATTTGGTTATATTCGGACCATAGCCTTACTGTGTTTCCTATTTAGCCACCTTTTATATTGTATATCATGTTATCAGTTATTGTCAGAATAATCTGTAGGTACTGAACACAGAACGGTACTGAATTTTAGCCTACGATTTTAGCTTATTAAAGTCTTAATTCTGAAGGTCTTTTACTACACCTATAAAAAAAATTCCTTTTTAAAAAATTAATAATTCAATTTATTTAATTAAAGCCTAATTTGTACACAATAGAGCTAAAAAACATGAAAACCGATATATTTACAAATGCTATTTTGTGACAAACAAAATGAAATAGTGAAAAACAATATGCATAAATATAATAAACAGAAAAACCTAATTTGTCTATTATTGGATCTAAATAATTAAATTTAGCCTTTTCGCTGACTGATGTGACCTTGTTTGTAATAATTTTTTGTTTGTTTCAAAGTCTATCAACTTTTGGGGATATAAAGTGGATAGGGAAAACTGTTTGACAGGGAAAACATAATACAGGGTGTCCCAGCCGAGATTGACCCATTTTAAATGCTTATAACTTTTAAACCAGGTGAGCTAGCTACCTGCGGTTTGTGCGATTCGATTTCTCTTGGTCTAAAGTTTTTTCCAGTAGGTTTCATATTTTTTTGAAACTTATACAGGGCGAGTAAAAAAAATCCGTTTTTCAACATCGAAATTCTCCACTATTTCTAATGGAACACCCTGTATATCACAACGTCAAAAAAAAGATTAATGTTTAAGGTTTCCATGTACTAATAGACATCGTCCCTAAAACTTGAAGTTTTAGCCGAAAAAAAAATCAAAATCGAAATCTTGGTATTTTTGCAAACGCATGCAACTTTATGTTGTAGGAACTTGATATCACTATGGCAAACAATTTTGTAACTGTCTAGTTAGATATCAATTAAGTTGAGATACATTTTCCAAGAAAATTTAACGAGTGCCAAAGTATTTTCTCTGGAACTCATTAAATAGAGATACCCCAATAGTAACAGTTTGGTGTGCAATCTCTATTGAGAAAAAATACAGACCATTTTCATTGATGAACCAACAATAACAGAAACTGTATACACTGATATGTTCTTTTTCCCATAGTTGAGACAGGAGGTTATCTTGAATGATATCTATTTTCAGCAGGATGATTCCCCCACCTCATTATTCATTAATAGCAAGGGAATCACTAGATATGACATTTGGGGAAAGACGGATAAGGAGAGCTGGCCGCTGGCCTATAGAATAGACACCTTACTCTCTTGACTTGAGAGTTCTAGACTTTTTTCTCTGGCGTCATGTCAAGGAAAGATGCGGTAATACTTTGCTAAAATAGCCTGGAAGATCTTGAGTGGAACATTTGTAATGTCATTGAAGCGATTTTCCAGGAAATGTTACACAATTGATTCAACCATTTATTGATCCACAAATGCCTGGAACAGAATGGCTAACATATACATATAGGTACTTACAAACATAAGGTTGAAGCTTTGAAAATAGGTGTTTGCAAAAATACCAAGATTTCGAATTTGATTTTTTACGGCTAAAACTTCAAGTTTTAGGGACGATGTCTATTGGTACATGGATACCTTAAACATGAATCTATTTTTTGACGTTGCGATATATTCCATTGAAAATAGTGAAGAATTTCGGTGTTGAAAAACGGATTTTTTTTACTCGCCCAGTATAAGTTTTAAAAAAAATTGAAACCTACTAGAAAAAACTTTAGACCAAGAGAAATCGAATGGCACAAACCGCAGGTAGCTAGCTCACCTGGTTTAAAAGTTATAAGCATTTAAAATGGGTCACTCTCGGCTGGTACACCCTGTATATTGTGCAATGTGTACAGGGTGGCCCAAATTCGAGCCTCATCATTCAGATCTCGGTAACCGTAAGAGATACGGGGTCGGTTAAATTATGGCAAAGTTGCGCAATTTTATGGCCAATAGAATGCCGCGTTGAAACAAGAAAGATTCCCAATACTTCCGAAGATATTCGGAAAAAACCGAAATTTTGTAAAATCGTTATTTTTTCCCGAGCTTATTTGACAAGCAATTTCAAAATAAATGTCACCTCATCATTGTCACTTTTTCCCCTTCAGAAGATGGTGCTACTAAAATTTAAAATTCGACGTTTCGTCTTCAGGCGGCCATCCTCAACTTCCTTTTTTTAAATACGAACCTGGATTTTTATTTGCGATTTTGTCATCTTTGGGCATCCTAAAACCCATACTGTTTATAATTTTTCAATAACACGGTAAAAAAAGCAGGTCAGTATTTAAAAAAAAAAATTGATGATAATTCCAGAGGAACGAAACGTTGGATTTCAAATTTAATACCGTCATCTTGTAGAGAAGAAAAAATGACAATGGGAATGTGAAATTAGTTTTACAAAATCTTTTTAAATGGAATCAGGAAAAAATTTGAGGAAAACGAGAAATTCATGTTTTTTTTCGTACAGTTTTCATTTTTTCCTGATTTTATTTAAAAAGATTGTGAAAAACCAACTTTCCATTCCCATTGTCACTTTTTTTCTCTACAAGATAGCGGTATTAAATTTAAAATCCAACGTTTCGTTCCTCTGGAATCATCATCAATTTATTTTTTTTAAATACGGACCTGATTTTTTACTTTGTTTTTGAAAAATTATAAACAGTATCGGTTTTAGGATGCCCAAAGATGACAAAATCGCAAATAAAAAATCCAGGTCCGTATTCAAAAAAAGGAAGTTGAGGATGGCCACCTGAAGATGAAACGTCGAATTTTAAATTTAGTAGCACCATCTTCTAAAGGGGAAAAAGTGACAACAATAAAGTGACATTTATTTTAAAAATGCTCTTCAAATAAGACCAGGAAAAAATAAAAACGATTTTACAAAATTTCGGTTTTTTCCGAATATCTCCGGAAGTATTCGGAATCTTTCTAGTCTCAAAACGGCATTCTATTGGTCATAAAATTGCGCAACTTTGCCATAATTTAACCAACCCGGTATCTCTTACAGTTACCGAGATCCCAATGATGAGGCTCGAATTTGGGCCACCCTGTACTTACTGAAATAATAGATTTGGGCTTGTAAGGATATATGCAAATTACCCGCTATTTCTTTTCCTAATTCAAGACAAGTGATGGACTTACTTTTATTGCCGTTTGGTACTACTTAAAGTAGAAATTCAATTTTCAACAGGGTTATATTCTAATAAATCATATTTCTAGTTAAACCGTTGATTTTTCAATTACATTTTAATAATAAATATGATTAAAATAGATTAGAAAATTCTTTGACAGTTCTAACAACCAGTTCAATTTTGTTATTTATTGTCATGTGACACAAATCAACCAATCATGTCAACATTATACTGGAAACAGCCCTATTAGGGTTGTTTTCACTCTATGACATAGTCTTGGACATTGCTATCACAAAATTTTCTATCCAAATAACCCTCAAACATTGATAAATACTTAAAAATTTTACAACTTTCTCAAGCTTGTTGCCTATAGAAAACAGACTCTTTTCAAGCAATAAGCTTTCGAAATCTGTCATAATTTTTTTTCGGACAATTATTAATGTCCTTGGGCTATTATTACTGAAGTCCAAAGGTAAAGGTAAAATTTATCACCTTTTAGTGCTATTTGATAGGGAAAAGTGATAAATTTACCTTTACCTTTGGACTACGGATTGTGAATAGGATATACTAGTGAGTTATAGGCCACATTATTCATTCAAAATCAAAGCAATCATAGTGTCATTATAATATGTCAGTGGTGGATAAAATATCTAAAAACTGGCTTGAAACAATACAAATTAAAACACTAAAAAAAGTTTACTCACATTTCAATTAAAAAATATGTATAAATAAAATTGTGGAATAAAAATTAAAATTATAGTAATGCTGCCAGCGCATCCAAAAATCGCGTCCTATCTTTAACGCGGAGTTCGATATCTGAAAATAAATAATAAAAATAGATAATGAAAGGAGTTAAAAATTAAGAAAATATGAAACTTACATGATGTATCAAGGTTATCACAGCTTACTTCGCAGTTCATTTTTTCGGCTGCTTGTTCAAAAGCTTTTCCGAAAAAACTGGAAAAAATAAAATAAAAATTAGAAAAGGAAACATATTCGCATGAACGAAGTAATGAAGTATCTGAACAAATTAAATTAGACGAGTTTTCAAAAAGTTCAAAAAGGCATTTCTAATAAATCTTAAGAAGCTACGAAAAATCAAGATAACTAAGTATTGCAATTTTTGAACTATATAATAAAAAAGTTGATAACCTCTGGATAAATCTACAAGTCTGGAATAATTTCCAAAAGATCCTAGAATAGAAAGGCCTCTAAATTTGAACTGTTATGGAAGAAATGTCGTGAGTTCTTGGTTTGCTTTATAAATCCGCATTTATTTGTGAGTTGAAACGTTGGCAACGTCTTATTCCACTTTGTCCTTGAACTACAACTTTTTTCTACAATCTATTGTCTGTTATTTTAACTTAATAGTTCAGTGTAACACTGTTGAATAATTTGATGTGTTGCTAATAAATTGGTATAGGTATCGTTGATCAAATTAAAAATCCAAATTTGACTTACTTTCTAGGAGAATTTTCACACATAGGCGGTATGCCCAACAATATACAAGTACTATTTTCAATATTTTTTGGAGCAGAGACTATAAGTGGCAACGCCTTCGCTCTTTTATTCCTTGACACGGAAACATAGGCTTTTAAAATAAATTGAGCTAGAAGAGAGAGTATGTGGACATGAGAGAACATGTACCAATCCAGACAACCCTAGAAGAGGAAATTTTTGAGAAAAAATCTAAAATTTACATAACGTCTTACCTCTTGAATGACATAATACACAAAAGACCCGGCAGTTATAATTTGTTTTCTATCCAAAGCACTTTGAACAGTCTTAAATAGGGATTGTACTATTATTTTGGCTCGTTCTAAGGCATTGTTTATTACATCAATTTTAGTCCTTGATAAGCAATCTAAGGCTTGGTTGAACAATTCTTCTGGTTTCTTATCTCTAGGCTAAAAAAATATTCAGTTGAATCTATGATTCAAGAAGTACCTTATTTGAAATTTACTTACTGATGCTTCTAAAATTGCAAGTAAAGCATAAACTATGTCCGAAGCACAAAATTTATTCCTATACCCATACTGAAGGACAAAAGAGGTAAATTCAATATCTTGAAGGCCATATTTTTCGGATGATTTTTCTAAGGAACTATGAAATTCTTTGCGCAGTGCCAGATCCATGGATTTAAATTGTTGCCTGCTCTGACTCAAAGGAAGGCTACAGAAAAAAAAAATATATATGTTAAATCCATTAAATCAAATTCAAAACCATTAGTTACCCCATATCAGCTAAAAGCTGATGAATCTTCTTGTCGCCTTTCAACGTCCACAATTTCATTCGAACAGCAGTAAACATTGAATATTTTAAACTAAGCTCCACTGTCCAATGCCTATAAAGTGATAGCCTCAAATCCTTTTCGAATAAAATTTTCAGTGATGTCTGAATGTCTGTGTCGTTTGTTCTGTTTTGGAGTCTCTTACAATGATTCCGAAGACTTTCTACATCAAAATTGAATTATAATTATTTATTTTTAAAAGTAATCTAATGAGTTGTTTACCCATTTCTAGAATATACTGAGTGTTTTCTATTTTTCCTAGCAGTAGCTGTTCTGTGAGTGCAACTATAGCCAACCACAGCAGGTCTTTGTCGTCTTTGCTTAGCTTCCATGCCAAATCAAACATGTTTATGGCACTCTGAAATAATAAATGGTTTTCCTATAGTATTTGGCGTCCTTCTTGGTAGTAATTACAACAAATAACAATTACTTGTACAATAAGAAAATAATAATTTGCTTACTGCGCGTGCATAATAAGTGTATTGAGAGTACTCGAACAATATTTTGTTTTTGTTTGCCTCCCACAGTCTTTTCTCTCGTCTTTTCATTATTTCTTCTTCTCCTAGCCTTCGCCTTTTCGCTGCTCTGTCTTCACCATCACTTCCTGTCGATTCTGCTTCTGATTCCGCTTCAGAGTCAGACTGCAAAAAAATAGTTGTTGAATATAGGTATTTGAAATTGTGATTTTTTTGTTGTGAAGTGTAGGAATTTTTAACGAAAATAACTATTTTTGAATGATGCCCGGAGCGAAGTCTCCTAAAAATACCACCCAGTGACATCAGCATGAGACGTCAAGAAACTATTGACATGCCCATATATGCATTATGAAGAAGATTATTTCCACTGCTGTTCTTTGCAGTACTCGAGGCGATGGGTACTCCTATTTTTATTTTTAAGGGATCATTAATTGTGTCTTCAACATTTATGAATAACTTAAGCTCTTTTTATACCCTACTTTGAGAAGAGTCGTAACCGTACCCCTCAGCCTGACAGTGAAATGCTTCAAGAACTGCATTGTGGGGCACTATGTCAAATTACTTTGCAGGATCCAGATAAACCGCCACTGATTTCTGACCATTATCTAGATCTTTTTAAACAATTTGCACATATAGGTAGCACCAGACAAGAAGTACTCAACTCCTTCATATAACCAAACTAACTCTGTGATATGGTACCTATATTGGAGGCGCGATTGGCTGTATTTTAGAGTTGGAGCCTTAGTGCAGGAATAATGAGGATGAGGACTTTGTAATAAGATATATGAAAGGCGTTTTGTCCATAGTTGCCAAAAGACAGGTGTCTCAAGAAAAGTAATTCAAATATTCCGTTATTTGTTGGATAGTGAACTAGGTAGAGTTTTCACCAAAGAAAAAAAGAAAAAACAGTGGTTACTTTTGCTATCACGGAAAACTTCACTGTGAATTAGACATTTTCATACTTTTTCGAGAATGTTAGGGCACAACAAGAAATTATGCAAGGAGTATCAGAAGCTGCAATAGGTACCAATTTTTTTCAATACATCTGTTGTGATCTTGTTGCATTAGGACATATAGCTTTCTTTTTATATATTGTTAGGTATTTTACAAGGTTTTTTACTATTTGAACTATGTTTTTTTTTTTTTTTTAATTCAATAACTAGGTACTTAATTGTGGGTTTCCTTTGCATGTAACTCTAGCAATTAGTGTTTGTGAAGAGTAACAATAATTATCGTTCTGTAAAGTGTAAGGGAAAATTTTCTAATTATGCCGCACAGAAAATAAATTTTTTTGAGAGTTTTTGAAGTGTTTTTTAATATCCAATATTTGTTCTGATATTTCATTAGGTTCCTACCTTTCCAAAAAAATATTTATTAAAAAACCGGATAAAATAGAAATTACAGACCAGAAACTGTCGATTTTCGAGTTGCTCCTCCAAGTTCCAGTTTAAAAAAAAAAAAACCTATTGAGAATGAAAGTTTTGGCTACAAGAAAAATTATGCTTTGATGCTGAGGACTGTTGTTTCTCGAGTAGCACCCTTGGAGTCAAGCTTTGAAAAGTAATTTTTAAAAGAAGAAAATCTAGGGCTGTAGAAAATCTCAAAGCAACCAACCCAGGAAGAATAGGTCATCAGCTAGAACTGGAAGAGAAAGCAAAGCGCGTCAACCAGGCAGTAATAGAAGCATTTGACTCTAGCTGCCCCACAGATTCGAAAACATGCTCAGTGTTTGTTTATTCAGAACAGCAAGAGGAACCAGAGACTGGCAGGATTACACAGAGGTTCTCACAAAGTATAACAAAGAAATCAGGAAGGCAAAAAGAAACAAATTTAGGTCTTTCTGTGAAAACATCACCTCGACTCCAGTCGCCACTAGACTGCTCAAGCCAATGGCCAAAGAGGGTAACAAACCAACAAACAGAAGTTAAGAAAACGAAACGAATACCAGACGGCCCACTAGGGAGGACTGGGAAACAGCAAGAACGCTACTCACTACCTAATGAGCGGCTTGAATGGGCATTTAATACATTCAAATCGCCGGGAGTGGACGAGATCTTGCCAGCACTCCTATACAACAAGGAAAAACAGAGATCATGCCACACCTTGTAGATATAACCAGAAGCAGTATGGCGATGTAATATAGACCTAAAATATGAAGAGGCGCAAGAGTCACTTTCATTCCAAAGGCAGGCAAGAAAGATGGGACAGATCACAAATCCTTCAGGCCAATAAGCCTCACATCGTTCCTTCTAAAGACGATCAAGAAAAGGCAGTAGATAACTATATCAGGGCCGGTATTCTGGTCCTCGAAAACGCTCACCGATTTCCAGTCGCTTGGCACTTCTAATATAAATTTAAATTAAAAGTGCCGGCCCAGGTCCACTACCTTAGAAAGGTGGCCTTTAAAAGAAAAGTCAGCACGCTTACATAATAGTGATGAGAAGCAAAGAAGAATGGAAAGGAAACACCACATCCATTCTTACAGTGCAGCAGAACGCCGTAAAATGGCATACTGATTGGTCAAGAACTGAACAGGGGACCGGAGGTGGAGTACTTGTGCCCTGGAATCAAGTTCTCCGAAGCAATGGGAAAACACCAGACATATTTCAGGCGGAAATAAACGCTATTAGTAGATGTGCTGAGTTCAATCTCGACAGAAACTAAAAAAAGAGAGAGATTGTCATATTTTCAGACTATCAAGCAGCCATTGAAGCGGTGAGCTCACGAAAGATCAGCTCCAGAATGGTTTGGGAATGCCTGGACAAGTTAAACAAACTGGGCAAAAATAACAAACTATCTCTCCAGTGGATACTGGGATGCGCAGGGATCAAAGTCAATGAGTAAGCAGACCAATTGGCGAAATTGGGAGCATAAACTTTGCTTTCAGAACCTAGAGCCTTTCAGTAGCATAAAGAAGCACACCTAGCAGAAGACTCTATAACCCTGGGTGAAAACAATCTTCACTGGATTCCAAGGCCACTGCTGGTTGAGAGGGCACCTTGAAAGAATTAAAATCAGTAGCGAGGACATGAGGAAACTCCAGAACACCTTCTCACGGAGTGCAATGCGATCGTAAACATATGAATGGCCTGCCTCGGATGCTGCACCGTTAGACAGAAAGAAATTCCATGCAGCTTACTTGCTTTCATAAAAGCTGGATAAGGTACTTGGAGTGAGTATCCTATCCAGTGGCGCACCCAGAAAATATGTTTGGGGAGGGCCTACATAGGTTGTGGCTTGTGACTAAGTCTAAAAAAAAAATTGAGGTGTCAGGGTGCCACACCCAAAATTTGCCACATTTTCTTATACGTAAAAATACAGTTTTGGAGGGGCGGCCTACGAGGGGGCCCTGGCCCGATAATGGTTCCCCCCTGGATGCTTCACTGTCTAGGAAATCTGGGAAACTTTTGGAAAATAAAGATTCTTTTTTGAAATATCCAGAAGCTTTTGAGATTAAACATACTAAAATTTTATTGAAAAAAAAAACAAAGATAGCGGAGTTACGAATTTTTTAATCCCAGAGACACTGTGATATTTTCACAATACAGACTATGGCCTGATTTTAGATTTTTTCCTAGAAATCCAGAATACTTTGGAGAATGAAGAGTTTTTATATACAGGGTGTCCCACGGTGGATGGCATATTAGACGTTTATGGAGAACTAAAAAGCGGATCATTTTGAAAATTTGGCAACCGGGATAAACGACCAAAATCTTCACTTTAAAAATATTTTTGTTTATGCGGTGTTGCCGCTTCTACTCTAAACTAGTGGCAACATCGCTATTTTAAATGGAACACCCTGTATGTGATTGCATATTTCGATTCTACGTAAAATTCTGAGCAGATTTCATGTTATATACCCTATACCTAAGTTCAACTGTTTTGGAAATAATGACAGTTCAAAATTGACTTTTTGCAACTTTGACAGGCTGTAAAACCTGAACGGTTAATTTTAGAGGAAAACCGATTTTACATTCCTATCTTAGATTTTTATAAACTATAATTTGACACCAACTTTGTATTTAATCCATGATTAAAAATTCCAATTAAATTTAATCTCCGGTTAAATTCAGAGTTGGTGTCAAATGATAGCTTATGAAAATCTAAGATAGGAATGTTAAATCGGTGTTCTTCTAAAATTGGGTATTCTTGAACTTAAAGGCGTCTGGATATACCTATAATCTAATATCTCCAAAGTATCTTAGATTTCCAGGAAAAAAGTCTAAAATCAAGACTAGTGATGTGAGTCAAGAATATTCCCATGCGAATATTCGCGAACATTGGGAAATTTCCGAGAATATTCGCCGATAAAAAATGGAAACGTTCTCCTGAATGAGAATATTCCCGGAAACTTTCAATCAAAAACTCTCAAAATAGTTATTTTCCTAACAAGTGCGCAAAGTGTTACTTTTCCGCACGCAAACACAGTTATACGAACGACGCGCAGCGGAGTTCGGATACCTAAGTTCACTATTTCGGAAATATTGACAGTTGAAAATTGAGTTTTTGCAACTTTGACAGGTTGTAAAACCTAAACGGTTAAATTTGATTCGAAAACAATCAAAGATAGTGGAATTACAATTTTTTTAATCCAAATGAAAGACTGAATGATATTTTTGCCTTACAGTCTATGGCCTGATTTTTGTTTTTGTTTCCTAGAAATCTGGAAAACTTTGGAAAATGAAGAATTTTTTTATATATCCAGAAGCCTTTTACCTTTAACATACCAAAATTTGATTGGAAAAAAAACCAAAGATAGCGGAGCTACGATTTTTTAATTAAGAGACACTAAGTGATATTTTGACAATACAGATTATGGCCTGATTTTTGATTTTTTTCCAGGAACAGTGGCGCACCCAGAAAATATGATGGGTGGGAGCCCTAAATAGGTTGCGGCTTGTGACTGAAAATCTAAAAAAAAAAATTGAGGCGTCAGGGTACCACGCCCCAAATTTGTCAACTGGAGCACCCAGAAGAGGGGCCACAACAGATCTATGCTGGTCGCAGTGTAACCGAGGAGGTAACAACTGGTGGCAATACATGTACAAATTGTATAGCATTATAACGCATCACTTGCGCATTACGACGCATTAATGGAATTACGGTGGAATTACCGGCATTATAATGACATTATTCGGTATTATCAGGGATTACGCTGACATTAC